TTTTCTCGTGAGATTAATCTATCAGTGTTTGCGATAATGTTGTGCGATATCCATATGAAATATTCTGTACTTGACGAGTTAATTACAGTGCACGATAATTAGTATAAAAATTAAAATGTTCATTTAATCCTACATATAACATCATAGTATCAAGTAAATCCCAAAACAACTCGTTTCAGTCTGCTTCATACTTTTTCTCGTATATTACTATGATAAACAACGCAGAACAAAATTAAATTAAAAGATATGAAACCATTTAACCCATTCACTGCCAGGCGAATTTAATGTGTTTTGCCTTGATGTGTAATATAGGTTATTATTTTGGTAATAAAAAGTGATATTAAATTTGTTGTTTTAAAAAGAATTATTCGTGACTCAAAAGGCTATAAACTTATCCCTTGAGTAATTGTAATCAATTTGAACTACGAGATATCTCATAGTTGCCAGTGAGTGGGTTAAATTATATAAATATGTTTTCAAGTATAAGGACAATTTGGTATCATCGTTCAAGTATAAAAAAGTAACAATGTAATTCTATTGCAGGAGGTTTGCCAAAGGTTTCCTTAACCTCTGCAGGGAAGATTTTTCTTTACGCTGTTCTTATATCTCTAACTGTACATCGAAAATGACATTATTAGGGGAGCCAAACCATAACATTTTTACGCCTTTTGTGTAGGGATTCTGTAGCGAATAAGTTATTATCAAATTTTTGTTCTTTTTATTAACAGTAATTATAATTACGAAAAACTAAACGTCTACATGTGTGGCCAAGGTCGTAAAGAGGTTAATCGAGGGAATCACAATTTGAGAAACACTGTTTATATATTTTCCAATTACAAATTAAAAACGATTTAAATATAGAGCCATCGTTTAATTCCATCGCTTTCATCCAATCTCGTGTTAGAGTTGTGGTGAGGTTAGAAACTCCAGGATTAGTTCTACTTTATAATTAAATGCCGTTGCTCTGAGATGACGGTTTATTTACCAATTTCTCGAGGGACCCTTCCAACCAATTTCTGGTTAAATTACTTTGTTAAAGATACAGAGCCTGTTGTCGATTAAATCGCATGCGGCCACCCAGGGAATGGAAAATATACCACTCGTTTTCAGATCATAAACGCAAGAGGAAAAACAAATGTTATTTTTAGCATAAAATATTCTGCTTTATTTATGGAGATCGTTGGTTCGCGGATGCTTTATTGAGAAGGAAGTGCGATACTGTTAAAAAATAATACACTCGTGATTACAATTTTTTTGAACTGAAAAATTGCTTCACTAAATATTAAGACGGAGAAAGTTTTATATTTATATTTGTTAATATATTACGGAATGTTACTTATTTAGGAGTCATAAACGTCTCTGTCGCGATTACAAGTAAAAATTTCGTCCTATCTATTTTTTAATAAATTATAACTATCGAACTAGCCAAGGGTTGTAAACGAGCTTTAGCTGGCTTACAGTGAAGATATAAGAGTATCAAATAAATATAATTTTAATTTACATAAAAATTTGTTCACCCATTTTTTTTTTAAATATTTTAAACAAATGCCTTGTTTTTATACCACGGATATTTTAAGAAATGTTAAAAGAAATGAGAATACAGCCACATTTGTCCTCTTTATGGAGGAACTTACAAGAAGATGGAGAGATTTAAATTGGCTGAATGAAAATTAATCTAATCTACATATATTACTTAGCTAAAAAATGGCGGTGGTCAATCAGAATCGGGCAACTTTACTTCTTGACTCTAATTAAAGGGTCCCTAACTTATAATATGGACAAGTTGTTTGTGTACAATGCGGATAAAAGAAGCTGTAGCCAAGCCGCGAAGTTTTTCTATCGATGGAATGACATGACAGATTTCTAATTATAATAGTATAATGTAGCGTAGCTAGTATCAGTCTACTAATTAGGAGTCGAAGACCATATGTGGGATATAGCGTGACCTCGCGACAGCTTCTCTGCTTGCAATTAGCAAATTAGTCGCAGTCGGTTCAACCGACTCCGTTTATATCGACCAGGGCCGTGATGAGTTGTGAACAGTACGGCACGTAATTTTTTCTAGGATGTTCACAAGTGTAGATCTCTCCGTCATTCATTCTATTTGTTTTATACTTTAAATTCACGAGAAAAAGAATAACGCTGACATGAAACAACTTTTTAAATATATAGTTGATGTTTGTATATTTTAAAGAGTGTTTAGTCTATAAACTTAACTATTGCATTTAATATGTGTACCATGTGTACTTACACGGATCCTAAACATATTTTTTTATGTTCGAATAATGTTTTCCTTAGTTCGTTCCATCTTCTAAATTTTCTTATTTCTAGGTTCAATTATAATTATACATTCACAGGGAAAACATACACAATGGTGACCTTAATAAAACTTATTATTTATTACAAAAATATAGGAAAAATATACTTTTTACCTTTATTCACATTTCGTTTCTTTATTTATCCTTATCCTTGTGCTTTTTAATTTTTAGGTATGCGCTACGGATCTTCGTCTATTTTATCACAGTATTTTTCTAATGTATTGCATATTTTGTTCTTTTCTAGCGTTAGGAGAATTAGAATTTTTCCTACCATCTCAATTTCATATTTATGTTTATTTATTTAATCTATTTTTTGGACAATTTTATAAAGGATATTCGCACATTACTTATTCTAACTTACTACATATTTGTTTGTTTGTTTCGATGAAAAATTTTGTGTATTCAAGCTACCACATAAAAAGTAATTAAATTAGTTTCAGAATTTGACGAATCAATTATTTATTATAAATCAGTTAAGTTATCAGTGGAATTTACTACATATTTATTTATCTGTTTCAATGATAAATGTTTATATTAAAGGTACCACATAAAAAGTAATTAAATTAGTTTCAGAATCTGAAGAATCAGTAATTGATTATAAGTCCGTTTCTGTGGGAGTCCCTGTTATCATTCAGAGTACTATGCTCGACAGTGTTTGAGGAAGAACACTGCTTGTTGCTATCACGTTGGTAGAACGTATATCGTGAATATCGGTGCACCAATAGGAAAACTCGCGTCTTTTACGCGTCTGTGTTGGCAGTGGTACAGTCGTTCGAAAAATGTATATTTGCACAAACAGTGGGATCAGTTATGAAATTGCATCGGTGTCCCTTATTTACTGACTTTACATGAGTACTTTGCACTTTGTATAATCTAGGGTTTCCCCTACGTGGCTTAATTCTTTATCGTGTAATTTTCAAACATCGTTTTAATAATACTAATTGTATTAATTTGCAAAAATTAAATATTCAGAGACTCGTTAAAGAGAATCAGAACAATATGAATCTTTTAAAAATAATTTAACAAGTGATAAAAAACGGAATACGTTTGTCTATTGCAAATCGTGTATTGATATTCATATGGCGTCAGATGGAAATCGGAAATGCATTTGAGTTTGACAAGCGTTTGTTCACCTGGTGGAGACTTATGTAAACTCTACTTTTTGTTAGCAAAAAATCATGGTGACCATTTTTGCAAGCGATGCGTGAATATAAGTTTTTACTTTATCGTGTATAATATGGATCACGCTAAATCAAAGTTTGAAACAAAATTTAAGTAGGAAGTGTTTATACATCTTTGCGAGAAAAGGACATTACAATACGTTGATTGTCATAGGTATATAGGCGATGGGACTTTCCGCTAAGAAACAGAAAGAATTTATTCCGAAGCGTGAATAAAAAAATGAATCTTTATAGGATTTAAAAGTTCACCGAAATTGCTAAAATAACCGCCACCACATTTGTTACGTTATAGAGTCTCCAATAGTATAAGTACGAAGTTCATGTCTCGTAGAAATTTGTAAGAGTATCAGTGCTGCCAATTAACGTGTTAAGTTCTCAGAAAACCTATTAAAAAATAATGTTAATAGTCGCATAAAAAATAGATCTCGGATTACAAATGGTCACACGTTGCGATAAGTTTTCCAGTTTCTACGCACCTGAGGTACGAACCGGAATTGTCTTAACTCACTTAAGGGGGCATTTCACTGTGAACGCATAAAAAAAGCATATTTTCAATCACTTTTTTCTCAGGAACTATTGCATAAAATTGAATGAATGTTTTTCCCCCTTAAAGGTATGATTAAGGAAAGTAAATAAAAAGTTTCTTTTTGGTAAAAAATATTTCGTCATTTGTTTACAAAATAATATGCATGTGTGCAAACGAAAAAGTTATCCGCTGGCGCAGGTGATTTTGGCTCTCCTGGTAATCTGATACAGAAAATCGAAAAAGTTGATTAAACTATGTCGTCACACCTATGGTCGGAACCACCAAGTAGTTGATATTTTGATTTTTACTTACAATTTCACCTGATTTACGGTACAAAAAAAGTGTTTTTTTTTCTCTCTTTCACAAGAAACGCTACCATTTTGTTTATTTCCGATGAAATAAATAAGTGGAAGTTCCGGCTATAGGTGTGACGACATAGCTTAATAAATTTTTTCGATTTTCTGTTTCAGATTACCGGGAGAGCCAAAATCACCTGCGCCAGCGGATAACTTTTTTTGTTTGCACACATGCATACTATTTTGTAAACAAATGACGAAATATTTTTTACCAAAAAAAAAAAATTTTTTTATTTACTTTTCTTAATCATACCTTTAAGGGGGAAAAACATTCAATCAATTTTATGTAATAGTTCCTGAGAAAAAAATTATTGAAAATATGCTTTTTTGGGGCGTTCACAGTGAAATGCCCTCTGAAAGAATAGAACGATTCTTAATTCAAATTTCGTACTTGCAACACGTTCGCCGAACGAGGTTGGCAAGACTTAACCGCGCGTATGCATAACCTGTACGAGCGTTGTGTATATACGCAAGTACTTACGCATGTTGTTTGACAACCGTTTGGCAGCCAACCGTGGACGTGGTGGGGATACTCAGGAAACATATAAAGGAACGTCGATGCATCGAAGATTCTATTCGGGAACGGGTACTGCTCGCGCTACCGTTCGAAGCCAAAGGTGACCGACCACACGATTTTTCGTCTAGTAATTTCGTTGTTTCGTTCGATAATACGTCCTTCGAAGATCAATCGAGGTTCGAGTTCCTCGCGAGAACAAGTATCTTTCCTTTGTTCCGCGGAAGGTAAAGATTCTTTGTCCGTCAAGATGCTCACTTGCTCGCGTGAGAACCGACTCGTAGACGATGGAGAGAACCACGTGTGCCAACTGAAGCTTCCCGAAAATAGTCTATACGAGGATGAGACCCAGGTGCACGATGAAGCCGTTAGGTATGCTCAGTTGTGTTTGTTTTTCTTTCTCTTTTGGTCATCGGGAAAGCCGTTTACTTTTCTTTTTCTTTTTTTTATGTAATAATGATCAATTGGTAATGTGTAAAACGCTTTAACTTTAATTTCTTCCTCACACGTTATTTAATCTCAACACTTTAACTATTGGTATATTTAGAAGCACTCTATGACTTAGAAGAGGATTCTTTACGTTAGTGTGTACTAATCATTAATTAATATTTATTTCTGTCTATTTTCTTTCTTTTTTGGCCAATTGGTAATAAAAATGCTTTACCTAACTTCATATTTACGCTTTATTTATTCTCAACACTTGAATCATTGGTATATTTAAAAGCAGTCCATAGTTTAGAAGAGGATTCTTTTACATTAATGTATATTGATCTAGATTGATATTAATTTCTGCTAGTAGGTGAGTCAACATTGATACCAGCAATGTACATATATAAAAAGTATCGTCTGTTTTTTCGAATTGAACAAATGCAGCAAGTAAGTAGGCAACTAACAGTACAGTTAACTCTTTGGAGGGCACGATTTAAAAGGAAAAGAAAACACGCTGCACAGAATTACAATCTCTCTAATTAGTCTCCTCCAAAATTAATGTAAAACATCGATAACATGTTTTTTTTATTACTATTATAAAATAATTTACTAGCTCCTTACACAGTTTTAAGAAATATAACAACAACATTTACCCTTATGAAAAATAAAAATTCATTGTATTACGAAATTTGTCGATCTTAATTACAACGGGGTAAAAAACTTAACAATGCATTTTGATTTGAATAAATTTCTATCATCACTTGTTCAACATTTATTGTTAACCCTCCGAGGTCAGACGTTCTGGACATGACGCGCCGGTCACAGGAGGTCCCAATGACCCAAGCGAAGTTTAAACGATTACCGCGTTGTCAGTATCGTTCCGAACGACTCATAAAAATTCAGGATATTAATTTGAACCTTTCAGAACGAGAATATCGTGGCAACAAATTTTTATCAAATTTTAAAAATGATGACAAAAATCATCATTTTCATAAAATTAATAACTTATAGTAATTGTATTTTAAAGTTGCGTTTGGGGTCATTTTGACCCCGGGTAATCGCGAAGGGTTAATTCATGCCATTGCGACCTGAACGAAAAATTTTAATTAAAATATTAAATTGTGGTATTATGAAAAATTCAATTTTTCGAGGCGAGTAAAAAAATATCTATGCATGAAAAAGTAAGGAAAAGGTGGTACACGTAGTTTGTAACCCATCTAACTCCTTTGTGCTCGCAACCCTTCCTAACTGTTCAGTATGTCTCTATAGCGGCATCTGCTAGCCAATTTTTTTGAAACTTTTCATACGTATGGAACATCGGAAAACATTGGATTCGTATTTTTTTGTTGCACCGTTTTCATATTTAGAAGTCGAAACGACTCCTCGAAATTCACACGAAAAGGTAGGTACACAATTTCCTATCCTATTTTTAATATAATGAATATTATAACATTGTGTTGAATAAAACTTGATATAAACTTGATTCAATTCATAACTTACTGTATTCCTTTTCTATTCTATTATTAATATAATGGATATTATAACACAATGTTGAATAAAACTTGATATAAACTTAATTCACTTCACAACTTATTAAGTACATAACGTTATTGCCAACACTCACCCTTATCAGAGGGTAAATCATCCCTAATCATTTGGCTTTTTTCGAAGCATACATTTTTCCTTTCAAACGACTTCCATGTAACTAGGTGTTACAATCTTACCTCGCTTCGTGTGTAGGGAATACAAAAAACTAAACATAGAGAATCCTTGTTTTTACTGTTTATTCAGGGAAGAAAGAAAAGAAAGAATAGTGCAGTTTATAAAAGAAAATTGAACAGAACAGAATAATACAGACCACATATTTTGCAATACAGAACAAAGGGGAAGAACAAAAAAAGGCATGCACATCGCACACACCAAACTCGCGCATTCATCTGCGCATAAGCGCGATTTTTACCACATTAAAGGAAAAAAAAACACAATAAAATAATTACATCTCAACACTAGGTATACAAGATTTCTTGGAGGCCTCGATTCCAAATCTGAACTAAAAATTTAGAAATTCAACATGACGGATCCAATATGCCGAATCAAAATGAACAAAGCAAGCTGATCACACATGTTCTTAGTGTTAATCGATCTTTTAACTATTGGCCCGCTTCAATGATGCGTTTCTATAAATAACAATCTGCTCAGAAATTAAAAATCATCAATTTATTATAAAATGATATTAGAATTATAATTGTGTACCTCATGATAGGGTGCTTCTTTCAAAAAATCAACATCGTACAAGCGTAGATCGAGCAATGGAACGTTAGGGTAAAGTTATAGGTAAATGGATATTGTACGTCATTAAGCGATTCTCAGAATTGAAAGAAAGCTTATTACATTTCCTTTGATGATAGAATGTTAGGGGTACAAGTCTGTACGTTATTGTTTCGAGACAATATTTCGTAGAACAATGCAGCCAGTGATCGGATTGAATAACAAACGTTTGTTTCATCGAGTACTGCGTAAATGGATCACGTATCGATCGAGTATATTATTCTCATATCCTAATATAATATTCAGATTTTAACATTTAAGGGGAGAAGCCCATCTAAGACAGTCCGAAAAAGGGAGTATATTTATAAATTTTTTGGGTACAAACGAACAATTATTTGGTAACAAGTTTCAGCCTATTCGAAAGAACGTTTCTTAGTGTATTTGTCGGAATTTTTTGATTAAAAAATATCTTAAATTAACAAAGTTACCACATTGTATATACGTTGGTTGTTTGATACTACATTCTTCTACACACACCCTGTATAAATCGTTACCAATTTGAATTCTTCACGTGATAAATAAAAATCGTAGATGTACAAAGTATTAATAAAGTAATTTCAAATCTTGTTTTCTTTTTTTACATTTTATTCACCACGCTTTTAGTCAGATCACGTAGGTTGATTTTTAAAATTAATCACAATAAAATGCTGCATCGAATCGCCATTTTTAAAAAGAATTTTAAAAACTTCATTTTTGAAATGAAAAGTTGAGGGAATACGAATAGCTTCGTTACTTGCTGTACGTCGTCAAAACTTTTTTAAGAGTGACTCGAAGTACTCGAGGTTGGACTTATAATTAACACGTTGACTAACAGACTAAAACTCCTGAAAATGTCGACAAAGTTAAAATTTTATCTCGAGACTCTTGAAGATTAGGTAATGTAACATTTTTCGTAGTATTTAATTTGTTAAGCTATTTAATTCACAACTCATATCCAAATTTATTTTTATATCGAGTTTCATTGTCGTCTGACTCTTGGAATTAATATTTTAAATTTGTTACTGGAAAGTCCTGTACGTTGGCTAATTTAACATTTGTCGTAATATTTAATTTTTTGAACTATTTAATTCACAAATCCGATCCAAATTTATTTTCATTATCGAGCCACTCTTGGAATAAATTTGTTTAATTTGTTACTGAAAAGTGCTGTCACCCATTTCTAGGAGACGTGGAGACCAACGTGTTAATCTCGTCATATTCTGAAGTAGCAGGGTAGTGCACCATCTGTTGCACAATGTCACGAAGCCCTTACGAGTACTTTCTTATTATTATTGGACTACTAAACTATATTTTAAAAAAGACAATGTCTCGTGAGACGTATGAAAATTTTATTTATATTTCTTGCACCACTGTCTCATTATCTTGGAGAAGTGCCACACGATATTGTCCACTGTTGACCATTTTTTCATTTATAGATGAATTTGACACTATGTAGGTAGCTATGTATGTGGATCGACCAGACTAAGTTTCTCGCTCATTAAATAGTAATGAGAGAATTTGTCTGTTTCCTTCAAAAGTCTATCACAAGCTATCACAAGAAGGAGCACAACCGTTGTTGCTGTGCAAATAAAATTTGTAATCATAGATATAAGTAAAATATATTATTATAGATTGCGTGAATATAATTTAATTAGATATTTTATGTCTTTGTTCAGGATTAATAATTATAATATGCAGTGCATTCGATATTACTAATTATTTATTAGAATACTATTAATTTGATGAATAGTATCTATTATATAATTTATTTAAAATATAAAATATACATACTTTCGGCACTAATATCTATTGCATGTAATACATTTAATCGTTTGCGCTCGAGTGGCACCTCTAGGGCGACATGTAATTTAAAAGTGATTTTTGAACGTACAATTTCAATTGTACTTATATCAAAATACAGCCAATTATTAATTGAAATAATATACATTGATTCGTGAATGTTTTTAGATACTTCTTTTCGAAGCATAGTTATTGGTTTTGCAGAAATTTATTATAAAACGGACTCGATTTGATTCTATAGAAAAATGCCTCGAGCGCAAAATTACCGAGAGAAGTATTCAATTAAATTGTTTAAATTTCTGATGCCTAATTCTGATCCAACAATGCTGTACTCACTTTATGACGTGAAATGAATTAAAGAAATATAATATTATAACAAGAGGTATTACCTTTCTGTAATTCATTGACGTTCAAAGAACGCGACGATAATGGAATAATACCTGTATAAGCGTTCAAGAATGATTCATCGTTAACAGATTAACTTAATCCAACTTTCTCGTTTCGATAAGAGTCTGAAAATATTTCAATGAGATAAAGAGAAAGGTGCAAGTTTGCTCCGTTGGCTATATATGAATCTATAAATATTTTCCATAAAACGGTCAAACAAGATAAAAATTACATAAACATTATTTTAACAGATTCGATAAGCGATCGAGCGATCGATGGCCGATACAGTCTTCCTCCATTCATTCGCAGATTGGCAATGATTCGACTGTTTGAATCACAGGAATAGTGCGTGATTTTTAGCGACGAAAATAGTATCGAATCATATTAAATGGTACATGTATTGCGTTGCAGTATGATTTTAACTAAATACTAAACTTTAACGACGATAGGTCACCGTGCTGACGATAGGTTCAGTCATTGAATTTTCTTATCCAATAACGCATTTTCTTATTTCATCGGTTTCACAGCGCTGTTATATCGTATCGCGAATTAATTCTACGTTTTTAATTTTCTTATAATTGAGTGTCAACACACTTGGCGGTCTCGTAAATTCTTGTAGTCAAAATAAGTTTCTTTCAGTCTCACTTATTAAGTTTTGCTCATATCTATTTGCATAATTTCAACAATAGATTGTCGTTGTTCTATTAATTACTCCTTTTAGAATAAAAATATACACCAAACATATTTAGAACGATTCTCGTTCCGAATAATTCGTCCCTACGAAATATAAATAATTTCGCGCGTTTTATTTAATTCAACTATAAATAAGGCCAGCCTTGATAACACGCTTCTCTAGTCGTAAACAATTAGTTTAGGAGCATTGGTAAACAACAATAAAAATGCGTTTGCAAGCGATAAAAGTATATTCTTGTTAGTAAGATGGAAATAGGTACCTATCGGTATAAATACGTAACGAATGAAATTCTTTTTATTCTTAAACGGTTGCGTTTTATATTTTTTCTAGATACAGAGATGGATCTGTGCGACTTCGAAATCCAAACATCGAGCTCATGGATCAAGACATACTGTATCATCTCGCTCTAGGTAGCGGTTCCCACGATCTCGTGGAGATGTTCGGTGACGTCAAGGTAAATGAAAGTAGTACTTTTCTTACGTGCCTTGATTTCCCTCTCATATTCATCTATCCTCAAACTTTTCCACCGATGTTTTTTTTTGTTATTCACGGCATGGATAAATGATAAACGAGTAAAATTTTATAGTTAGCTTGCAAAGAAAAAATATACCGCTATTAATATTTATACGCACTGCGCCGATGTATTAACGAATACACTTTTCTGTCTCCTTTTACACCTTTACTTTTAACGCACTCGCGACTGCCAGATATTTCACGTATCTAACACCGATACTGACGAGAATAATAAAATTCTGAAGCTGGACATCGCAAATTTGTATCGTTAGGGCGAAGTTAAAAATTACAAAATATGTTCTGAAATATCAACGTTGTATATATGTAGTGTATAAAATAACAAGATTTTCGTAATTCAGTATAGAAACCAGGAATTTGAAGCGACGTGAATTCACGTCAGCGGTCGCGAATATGTTAATTACACTTTTCTTGTCTTGTTCTTTATTTTATAAGAGTACGTAGTCTGTTTTACATCAACTATCATTAGTAGACTGGCGAATCTTCATGAATTTATAAGAAATTTTAATGTGCAAGAACCTACAAAATACAAACAAAAAGTAAAGTTCGTGTTATAATATTTGCAGAATAAAATAAATTCCTATATAGATTTCACTTTTGTAGGCACGTTCGCAAAGATTTTATACTGCATAAAGATTCGCAGTCTAATCATTAGTATCGTACTTATTGGTCCAGTCTTGCTTGTTACAATTCACCAATCTTGCACATATGTATGTGTTTTTTTCATCACTTTTACATTGTTTTACATCTATCCTTAAATTCGTATATTACCATGCTTTATATTATTTCTTAACTTACATTACATTCATTTACGTGTCAATTGGGGCTCACTGCCTTCTCTATTATAGCTACGGTACCTCGCGATCGCTAAGTCCGTACTGTAGAACCGTGTGAAGTTGGCCCCCAATATGAAAAATTTTTAAATTTTCTTTTCGCAAACGTTTGGCCATCGTTTGTCCATCAATGCCCCCTTTGGAATTTTCGTTTGCCCCTTTTTAGTTTAAAAATTATAAACAATTCAATTGGGGGGGGGGGGGGGACAAAAAAGGGAGCAAACGAAAATTACAACAGGACATTGATTGATTAAGGGTGTCACCCCGTGTGACAGCCGTTTTTTTAAGATGTTGTTCAGAACTTTTTATAGCGAAATGAAAAAACACAGAGTTTCCAAATTTTTACTATATATTTATTCAGCCTTTAACTGTAACTTTGAATTTTTTTAAGCAAAAATATAATGTGGATCGCGAGATTTATCGCTCGTATGGTACCCATGTAAAAAAAGGGTAGGTGAACGGCGCGGCGTCCATGATCCCGACAGAATGGCTAATGTCAAGTAAAAAAAACAAATTGCATGTTAATCTGTAGATGAATGGCTATCGTCGGAACTAGGATTTTTTAAAAATCTTGAAAATTCAATTTTTTATATGCTTTTAGACATTAAGACCCAAAATTTCATGATACTTTACGACTACTTATTTATGAAAAAAGAAAAACGGTTCAATATATACATAGTAAAAATTTGAAAGCTCTGTGTTTTTTCATTTCGCTATAAAAGAATTCCGTAAAAACCTTATAAAAAAACGACCGTCACGCAGGATGACTCATTTACATTCAAAATTTTCTTTTTCCAAAGGATTGACCATCGTTTGTCCATCAATCCCTCGTTAAAATTTTCGTTTGCTCCTTTTTAGTTATAAAATTACAAGTAATTTGAGGGAGGTGGGGGGGGGGGGGCCAAAAAAGGGGCAAACGAAAGTTTCAAGGAGCATTGATTGATTTAAACATTCAAAATTTCCTTTTTCCAAAGGATTGTCTATCGTTTGTCCATCAATGCCCCGTTGGAATTTTTGTTTGCCCCTTTTTAGTTTAAAAATTACAAACAATTCAATTTGGGGGGGGGGGGGGGCTGGGGGACAAATGAAATGTTTGCAAAAAGAAAATTTTGAATTTTTTAATATTGGAGGGTCAACATCACACGACTGTACTGTAACTACAATAAAACATATTTACAACCCAGAGCACACTAATGATTAACGGGTTGACTGACAGAGTAAAACTCGTGAATATGTCTACAAAGTTAAAATATTGTCTCGAGACTATTGAAGATTGGCTAATTTAACATTTGTCGTAGTATTTCATTTTTTGAACTAATCTAATTCACGAAAACGATCAAAATTTATTTTCATTATCGAGTCACTCTTGGAATTAATTTTTTTAATTTGTTACTGAAAAGTCCTTTCACCTATTTCTGAGAGATGTGGAGACCAACGTGTTAATCTCGTCGTATGCTGGAGTAGTAGGGTAGTGGACTATCTGTTGCACAATGTCACGAAGCCCTTACGAGTACTTTCTTCTTCTTATTAGACTACTAAACTATATTTGAAAAAAGTACAGTGTCCGCGAGATGTATGAAAATTTTATTTATATTCCTCGCTAAATTCACGAATCCTATCCAGACCTATTTTCATTATCATCTCAGCAACGAAATTAATTTTTGTAGGTTCTTGATGAAAAGTCTTGTCACCCATTGCTGGATGAAGTTGTGACTAACGCGTTAAAAATGTTTTCAGTCGTTCTGTTCTGTTCTGTTTTCCTACTGTATTACGTTAGTTATCGCCACTATTCGGTTGTGATGAACAACCAAACAATTAAGTAAGTGGCAATGAATTTTCAACGATGGTGGGATATCAGAATATCAGTTGAATCATATTAGTTGAATATCAGAATTACTCGAACATAGATTCTCTGATAGATACGAAGTTTCTCAGGCTAGATAAGTTCAAACTAAACGGTTACGTTTTGTGAAAACGTGACTAGAAATACGTATTTAATTCTGTTGTTGTCCATATTAATTGTTACAGTTCGTGTGCATGGGTGGAACACCAAAACGCATGGAGCAATTCGCTAATTACATAATGAAGGAAATAGGTCACAAGCTTCCAGCTGGAACGACGCTACTCGACATTAGCCAGTATTCGTACCGGTACTCCATGTATAAGGTTGGACCGGTGCTTTCCATTAGTGTAAGTATACTATTAATATTCGTAGAAAAAATCTGCTTTTCAAATAATCCATAGTAAACGCGTTGCTTTATTCCCAAATCTTACGCATTGGAATTTGAATTAAATAAAATGTTTCAATAAAAATAGCATAGTCCCATTTAAAATAATTTATTTAGCAAACTAATACCATTTTGCATCTTTCTCATTTCCGAACAGTCTTTGCTTTTTCTACGATTTCCAATTGGTCATCAACTTATTTAAGTTAGTCGATTAATTCGTTCGTATTGTACGAAGAAAGATCATTCTCAAGTTAAGGAGAATGCGATATCGTGATTAACCTTTCTCGATCCAACAGTCTTGTTAATTGACAAATTACATGTGTCTTCTTCCCACTAAAATTTATAAATGTTTATCATTTTAATTTTATTCATTCATTTCGTTAATTTTGTTTACATTAGCACGCATAAAACTTGAACTGACATCGAGTTGCGATGGTTACTATGTTTGTCAGGGAATCAATTACACAGAAAACTTTCGAACGACCTACAGAAGTTAAAAGTGAGATATATATATTTTTTATCGCATTTGTGTGTGTGTTCAATCAAAAGCAGTTTGATCAAAAATTCAATTTTCATCATCGTTCAAACTGGCGTTCAATTAGCTTTGAAGGCAATGAGAGCGTTGAACGAACCGTTGAAAGTTGCTTTTTAGCCGTTCAAAGTTCAAGACTTTCAACTAAATTTACCTGATGAGCAATATTCTGGAACTTTTTATAGTGTTCTTTGTACAATCGTTTATCCTCTGCATATTTCAACGTTTAACAGTTTCATTAATCTTTTGACCATCTTTTGCAAGTATCCGAAGCTTCTTTATGCAACGTATTATTATAATCAAAATTAATTTAGATACTCCTTTCTGTAATTTTTATTATAATTTAACAGACCTTTGAACCAGAAATGGGCAAAAATATTGTCTAGATGAAAATTTCGAGCAACAAATAATAAACAAGCAACTTTTTATTCGTTAATTGTTAAATAAACATCAAAAATTTATGATGTTTACTAAAAAAGTTGTATGATGCACAATGAAATTTTATTTCACAATAAAAATTTACTCGTCTCCTTTCTTTCGAATAAAATGTTGCTCATCTTTGGTGTAAAGTTAAGATCTAGCGATAATATTATTATAAACTTTCGTTACATACATCACGCCGCTATTTATAACAATGTAACCTTGCAATGTTATTGAATTCTACACGAGCAAAAAAAATCCTTACACTCTTCTTGTACTATCTCAAAACGTTTTTCGCCATTCTTAAATTTACTATAAACTTTCGTTCGGTTATTTGAAGATTAGAACGCTTAGAAACGATTCTTACAAGATTCCTGCTCGCCATTAACTAATCCCATTATCGTACTGTCCATTGTAACATTTGCGAAAAAGTCAATAACCATTATTACACAGAAAAATTGTAAAAATATAAAACGTGCATGGAGAAAAGGCAAGGTATCATAAATAGTTTTAATCTGTTGAGTTTGTTAGATTTGTCACATACTTCATTAAATTTCTAAATTCCCCGTGCATTATTTTTCTTTAATAGTGGACAACGAGAATAATATAAAATTAAAGTATCGAAAATGATCCGATTTCGTTGAAAAAAATTAGAATATCGTGTCGACTTCAATCAAACGATGTAAAATATATATTAACGCAATATCTTGTACAATTTAGCATACACTCGAAGGTAAAAAAAACATCTGACATTCCGCGATAATCATATGCTTCCACGTTTCACGCGTTCTTTTACGCACCAGTTACTCGACTCGTCGACCAAACTATTTTTTCATCATCACTTTTTGTGCAAATCAGGCGTATAACGCGATAACGCGTCGAGCGACGCGGAAATATAAAATGAGCTTACGTCGTCATTGGGAACTCATCTTCGCAAATGGTGTGCAAGGCTGCTGCGATATTTTGTTTCACAATGACTGGACACCAAAGCTTAGACAATAAACTTTCAGGAATTTTCAAGAGAACCAAACTGTCTTGCAAGCAATGTTGAATATTCATTGGAAAACGAAATAAAATTCTTACCCATTAATTTTCGACATTTTACGATCATCCTCGCATGTAAACACAGAAAATCATATATATACATACATATATATTTTTGAATAAAACGTAGGACAAATCAAATTAGTAGGGAAACCGTTTTGAAAACAAGCTTGCTGGTTTAAAATAAATAAACTTCAATATGAGTGCAAACAGCATTTAGAATAAGCAGAATGTCTACTATCAATTACAAGTTAAATACAATCAAATATAATCAAATACAAGTTTCTTTTGCTACTTGCATTCAGCTGCTTTGTGTGGCAGTGTTTATATTAATAGACAATCTTGTCTCCTAGAATACAACTACTATAATAGTATACAAATCACTATAGATATATATTTTTAAATAATACGTAGGTCAAATCAAATTAGTAGGGAAGACATTTTGAAAACAGGCTTGCAAGTTTAAAATAAATAAACTTCAATATGAGTGCAAACAGTTTTTAGAATAAGTAGAATGCCTACTATCAATTTACACTCTACTTAAGTTAACTTATATGCGATAGTTATACAATGAATATTGTATAGATTAAAAATTGTATTAGGTTGTCCCACAAGTTTCTTTCGCTACTTGCATTCAGCTGGTTTGTGTGACGGTGTTTATATAAATAGACAATCTTATCTTCTAGAATACAACTAGTATAGTAGTATACGAATCATTAATGGAACATAAAACATAAAATATTGTGTACCTATTATTTACTAAAGAAACGAAAGAAACTTTTAAGACAACTCAATACTTATAACCTTTATATTTATCGTATATTTGTGGTTTACCAATTAAATCGCCAATTTTATTTGTATGCACATTAAAAACTGTATTGTCTTTTTATATTTTATAAAATAATGGTATATTCTCTCGTCTACTACAATGACTTTTAAATATTATAAACAAGATGGATACTGTCGTTTCTTTCGGAAATATTAGTAACTGCGACATACCACTGTCCTACTTTAAGGAATTTGTTTATATTCGATATGTTAATTGATGCGATCCTTTATGGAATATGCATGAGAAAATGGAACGTTCATGTTTTCTGTTTAGCATGGAATGGGCATTCCATCGGTTGGAATTCTCCTCCACGAGATCATCAAATTGATGTACCACGCGAAGGTGAAGGATCCAGTATTCTTTAGGATCGGGACTTGCGGTGGAATCGGCCTTGAAGGCGGTACAGTCGTAATTTCCGAGGAAGCAGTCGATGGAATGCTGAAACCATACTTGGAACTGGTAAGAGATTCTTTTTGAAGTTATAAAACGTCCAGAGTAGGAAAAATTAGCTGTTTGATTATTTTTATACCTTTCATGCAGACGTCAAATGGTAGGCAAACAAGACGTAAATGTCAGAAGAAACTCTTTCGCCACTTTTTTAATATAAATAAATAAGAATAACATTATTTTGACACTGATGCACTTGGTGGAAAAAGAGTTTACAGTTAAGCTACACCTATAACATTTTTAATTTTTGTTTTTGTCGTTGATGGTTTGAGGAAAATGAATTTGATATCTAAATAAGAACTGCCGATAGGCACGCTAAGTTCAAATAAATAATAATAATAATTGTATCGTATTAAATATAAATCCGAGTATTATTTTTCAGTCATTGTTCAGGATTATATTCCTCTGTTGCACTATGCTGTACAAATTTATTGTATTGTGTGTAAAGAAAGAAGAAAATAATTTATCATCTAGTTAACAGTTATAGTACAGACAATCTATATACATATTATACATTAATAATAGTAATAATAAATGAACGGCTTGTGTGGCGAGGCCAGAGATAAATTGGAGTTTTAATCAATACACATGACACACAGATTACTAATTGTATTTCCACCATCGTTTTGTTCTATGTCATTGATTTTGCGGTTTCGATAAAACGAAGTTGAGTGTAATAAATATATTCTTCATTCGTTTTGAAATTCGATTTTATTTTGGTCTCCATCGAGCATCATTGAATTATACCTTATATTGAAATGACAAATGTTTCGAGCTATCATAAAACTTGTCTGTTTCGTAAATAAAAAATTATCGAAGGAACAAATTCATTTTGCAGCCTGTGCTCGGTAAACTGTTAAGAAGACCTGCAAAGCTTGATCGGCAGTTAGCTCGCGACTTGAAGGCTCTGGCGCACCGAGATGATCCTTACGACACTGTGATCGGTAAAACCATGTGCACTTATGACTTCTACGAAGGACAAGGCCGGCTGGACGGCGCGTTTTGCGAGTTTTCAGAAAACGACCGAATGGAGTATTTGGAGAAACTGCACAAGTCTGGAGTAATAAATATAGAGATGGAAAGTCTCTCGTTTGCGGCTCTCACGCATCATGCTGGCATCAAGTCAGCTGTTGTCTGCGTGACGCTGCTGGACCGATTTAGGGGCGATCAGGTATGTGGACTATAAGAAGAACACATTTATGTTTCCAATAATAAACATAAAACCAGTGATTTGTACTATTTTTTATGTCGAGTTACTTCTTAGCCAGGAAATTTGTACAATAACATAATAGAAACCATTTGTTAACTTGCAAATTTAAAGCCAAGTGCTCCGTACTCGTTAGACATACAAATTATGTAATAATACAATATGTGAAGGGGAGAAATCTATCTAAATTCGATATGTTAAATAAATAAAGGTCAGGTGTACATTGCAAGAATGAATAAAGTACTATAGTGTCCGAATATTAATACGAGTCACTGTAAGTATTTTGAATTTGTTAAAACATTTTATCTTAGGTGGTCGCATACTGCATTAAGTTTGTACCTCTTCGGACATCTTATTTTTCTACCATTTTCCACCAGTCGATTCAAACATTATGTTAATTAATAATTTTACAAGAAAATCACACCAAACAGTACAATTGTTTGAACGATTTAAAAATAAATTTAAGGTTTTTATTATGTACACAGGTGCTGGCACCAAAGGAAGTCCTGGATGAGTGGCAAATGAGACCACAACAGTTGATCGCTCGTTACATAACCAGATACCTTCAACGAAAAGGCCGCCTCTCCCTCGAAGGCCATGGATCGATGTGTGTCAAGAGTCCACGTCGGTTCAAGCTGGTGCAACAGGAATCGGAGAACTACGATTAAATTTACGATACTCCGAATACAGAATCGCAAGGAAGCCCCCTACGAGTCTTGATAGCGAAAGAATGTGCGCTGTGCGTCAGAATACGACGAAATCCTATTTACGGATTTGTATCGATGATTAGCTCACGAAACGGACCTCATTTTATTTGTTTATTTACATTGTAGTCACGTGAATTATATCGTGATTAGTCCTGATGGTTATATGTTTCAAAAAGACTTAGGTATCCTTACTATTGCAAATATTTAATCGCGTTCTACTCGTTAGAAGTTAAGGCACACGTATGCATTTATGGTACCACGGACAAGTGTTTTGAAATCAGTTGCACAAGGTAAAGTAAGAAAGAAGTTTTATTATTTTTTTTTTCCTCGGAAAATGATTGTTATTTCGCATATATGTAAAGAGTAATTCTTTTCAAAGAGGCTACAAACATTTAATTTAATTTATCATATAACTTATAAGCGTGTTAAAGCATAATGCTTGCTTCATATATGTACAGTAATATATTTAATTTGGAATATAATATTAAAGTCTTAAGTGTAATTTCGGTATATCTCAGAAAATGATTTCCAATTATTTATTCGTTTGCTTTTGTATAATTTTGTTTCTATAAATTCTCGAGACTATGTACCTATGTGTCATTATAGTATTTATAATATCGAAGTTCCTCTTATGTTTTATAATTATTGCGAAAAGAAGCTCAAAGGATTACAAACTTCACCCGTTTTATCATTACAATGTGGTGATCCAAGTACAAACCGGGCAACATATTTAAAAATGCGACTATCAGAGTGAGATACATTTTAAACGACCATACTTGGCCACATATCTATTACCCGTGTATTTCTGGAATATCTTATTTTAAACAGTAATTGCAGTTATATACGAAGCGTTCGTATATTCTTCGACCAAAAACGACCGTCATTATCTAAAAAATGAGAATGTCATGAAATTCTCAATAACTTTGTATGCGAAGCGTTTTACAATGGATCTATAAATAATCGATCGTAGACCCGAGTTGCTCGCAAATTGTATTAATTTTGTGAAACCAAGTACCGTTGAACTTCGTTTCAGGAATGTATGAAACTTAATCGATAATATTAAAATTCTATGTATTGGTAGAGCTAAGTAGCCGAGTAGCACATTCCAAGTAGTTTAAGTAATAGCGTATGCTTTTGTTTAGCCTTCGTTTATGGTGTGATTGGGATTCGTGTACATGTATAACACGTATATTGCAACAATCGTACGAAATGCATCTCATATCTAAAACCGAGATTGGATTACGAATTTGCAAAGAAAATAATGATGCGGCTATGATATTGACATTTGACGTTTATGGCGTTTACTCTTCTTCTCGAGCATTCCATTGTCCCAAAACTTTGTTTCAGTGCCAAAAAAATACATTTTGAAAAATAAGTCGGCTCAGTACAATCGACAGAATGTTCATAATCCTATCTCAACGTTATAAGCCATCACAGTTTTATGGCCAATAAAATGTTAGAAATTGTTGGTTATAAACCAGTTACGTTACGATTCCCTCTTCGTGAAGAAAACAAAGCTGGACGTGATACTTTGTAAGAAAACTTAAGTAGACAAGTTAAAGTAGTTGACGTTATTAAGCGGTTTTGGGCTTTATTCGTAAGGATTCCATGTTATATATATATTTTTAAACCGTGCGTTTTTGTATCTTAATACTGTTTGTTGGTTAAATTGTATGTCGACTCTTGTTACGGAATAAAAGTAAGAACAGAAACCGATTAAACTCTCGATTATCGGATATTGAAACACGACTTTAAGCACAATTCTATAGTATAATAATGCATTGTTTATTGCTTCTATCGAAACGAGATATCTTACTTATTTCCTGAAAACAAGAGTTTATCATAACGTTGTCGTAGTATTACATAACTTTTATTGATTACGGAAATACATATGCTGTAAATTTTTGTTACTCGAATTACTAGAAAACGTTGAATCGTAACGATTTATTCACGCTCTTCGACGTAATGGAACAGCGAACACGAGGCATTATTATGTAAACAGTCTGATGTGGCTTATCAAATTTTTAATTGTATTTCCAGAAATACTATATTCTGTAAATGTGTTCAGAGATAAACATTGTACGCGGCTCGAACTGTTGAGCCATAACACGTATATGTTGAAACGTTTGACAAAAGTTCATTTTACACTCTTGCTATTAACGTTTTGAAAAGGTGTATGCAGTTTTTATGTAAATGCAAAATATTAAACGGCACGCGTGTCGATCCTTAAACGCGAGATTATTTTTAACGATTAATAAATGTGTATCGATCATGGTACTCGTTTTTACATGAATTCATTTATCGTTGCACTAAGAAAGATTCGATCTTTCCACTTGAATAATTGTTAGTAACCAGCTAGTAAAACAGTAATAATATGGAAAGGATTGTAAGTTACTTGCGAGGTATTTTTGTGCTGAAATGATATCACGTGCTTGTATATCGATGTTTGACATATGACATACCTATCACGCGGAACGCACAATTGGCTGTTTAATGTTTATTATATAACATTGCATAAAAGTTCATGGTAATTGTTAACAAACGTTGTTGGTGTTATAATGATAGTTCAGCCTTGAAGTTCCGCGCGACGGTTCTTCGGTATATTAATTATATTTTTGTGACTACCAATTCCCGTGTTGTATCGCGTTTACCGTAGTGTAGCTCAGGCATGTTCACGCTAATTCTAAGATCTGAAGTTTAGGCAACTCCCTCAATTCTGTCTGGTTATATTGCGTTTTGCGATACATATTGGAGATGGTCTAAACGTTTAAATAGAAATTACCAATAACGAATGAAATTAAACAGCTTTTCATCTGTTGAGCGTTAAATAAAATTCAGAATTTCAATTATACATTTAATTATAGTTAAATGTATTCAATTCATTTCAATTGCACGTTACATCAATCAAGTACAAAATTTATTTGTATATGCGTTCGATCGAATAAATTGGTATACCGTGTTTTTATTTGCTATTTATTATTAACGAAAGTTGGTCCATCTCTGATTTCTTCATTTCTGGACAATGACACGTGAAAGGAAAACGCAATTCGCGCGAGGAACTCCACTAGCGAGCATGCCTGCTGTAGCTAGTAACATTATACAGTTGTACGATACTCCTTCGTTGAAGTTGTTGAAAGCCAAGTGTAAAATTACCTCCAAAAATTTACATTCTCTTCGAAGAATGAGTCGCAGAACTTGAAATCGAGTCTGTTTCAAAATTTACTCTCGTTCGGTCGTACCTTTTAAATGATCGCTAAAATTATCAGACTAACTTAAATTAATCGAGGTAAAATATAAAATCACATCCAATATAACGTTTGAGTCTGTAAGAAAAGGGACGAAGCTTATCGCTTTTTGACATTCGAATCGATTTCAATCTTCTGAGAACAGCCTAAACTATACAGATACGTAATTTAAGAATAATCAAACTTGCAGAGTTCAAATTATCGTTACGTTCGATAGCGCAAAAATGTTATTTATGATAAAGATCGAGTATGTTCTTTTGATTTGTACGACATCGTTTCGCGCAGGAAAATTAAATTAAGTACTCGTAATTTTTAAAGGGACGGATCAGATCGATCGAGTAGTATGTACCAAGCCTTTTCGATTTGCCTACTTTAGAATTAGTAGATAAGCTGTTCAGTTTATGACGTTATCCTTACATTTTTATTTTCTATAAACAACGACATATCTGTGATGCGTATTAAGAAATTACGAGAAGTATTACAAGGAGAACCAAATATTGTAATACATACAAACGTACATGTATTCAATTTTAATGACTCTTCTCGGTTATATATACATGCCTATGTCGACGAATCGTCGATATTTATTACCTATTTATTGATATCGAACTATTCCATAAAATTCTTCACCGTTAATCTATACCCTTTAAATTATCTAATTACTATTTAACCAATGCAACATCGACGAGAACGATGTTTAGCGAATGTTCACCAATATTATTCAGCTATCGCTGTGCTCTCACTGTGAACCTATTTATTTATATGCAACACTATTTATGAAATACGTAATCTGTCTCTTCAGAAATCGTTTACTGTAACAGATGGATTATGTATAATGTTACTTATTGTGCACTATGTTTTAAAAGGACAATAAAAAGGGAATTAATACCATGCATTGCCTTATAACTTTGCCAGGTAAATTTTATCTTTATACGTAACGAAATGTTCTCATTTTTAAAGGATTACTTAATGAAAACAATTACGAAACAGTTTTAAAAGAAAACATAAAAAGTATCGACATATTATTTCATGTATACCACTTTCATTGGTAAGTATGATTTTACCTTTAAACGTATTTGTTGTTTGTGTATAAATTTATTCACTTCAAAAGTAAATATGGTCACATTTTGTACTAAATCATCAGGCTTTAACACAGTATTAATAAGATTTTCTAAAACAATGACTTCATATACAGCTTCGTGCAAATTTTCCTTTCAATTTTCCTTCATTTCCTGGTACATTTCCCTTTAATTTCACTCCATTTCTGTGACATTCCTCGTTAATTTCCCTTCATTTCCTGTCACATTTCCCGTTAATTTCACTCCATTTCTGTGACATTCCCCTTTAATTTCCATTCATTTCCTGGTACATTTCCCTTTAATTTCACTCTATTTCGGTGACATATCCCTTTAATTTCCCTTCATGTCATAATACAATTCCTCTTAAAGTTCCTTCTTCCCAATTTACAACATTCTTGAAATTCGAGCGGAGCGAAGTTCAACAATGTTGCAAATCACACATCTAAAAAATCAACAATGTTGAAAATAGCACATCTCAAAAGTTCAACAAAGTTGCATCTCAGAAGATCGGAACTGAGGCGATTTTCCCGATTTTGTCACTATTTGCCAAACTTCTGAGTTG